TGTTCTATGGAAGGATTGGATTAAAAACCACAAAACATTACTGATGGAACTTAATTTTTATTATGTTGCACCCAAAATAATATTTTCAGCAATTTTCATGCCTAACGTTTGGAACTCTGTTTAAAAATTTGCATAGGGCATGTATAATCTAAGATCAAATCTTTTTAAAACATGTACCATATGAAACAATGATTGTTGTTTAATTATATTATTTAACTATAAGAAAATACTATTTAGCTATAAGAGAATGCATCATTTTCTGACCATCCCACACAGTGAATATGGCATCCAGAATAAAGATAAATATGGTTTATAGAATTAAATCTTTTTTATTTTAGATTCATAATTTCAAATAATTGTGTGAAATCTGAAAGTGTATGTTCATGAATCTTCACAATAGGCTCATCAAAACCAAACACTGTTTCCTAAGAAAAAGCATCTTTTCTTCATGTTTTCTAAAAGCTCCAATCTGGTGGGGCGGACTCCCAAATACTTTGAAAACACCCTTTTAAATGGGCAGGAAGAGAATTTTCTTATGAAACTGAAGAATTTTTCTAATACATTTGGCAGTGGCTTCCCTTAATGTATTTCTCTTGTTTAATTATTTCAATTGTATTTCCAACCCTCCTGACTAATAGAAATCAGATAAATAAAAATAAACATAATCTAGTTTGGTGGCCATCCTGCACATAGTAAATGTATTTGTATGAGTCTTCATAAGTAAGAAGGCTCAGATAAATACATAACACATTAACCCTACAATATCAATCAATGAAACAATGAAACTGAATATGAATAGGGAAGCTAATACAATTAGGGCACTTCTTAGGCTAGAGCAAGCTCACTCTAAACAAACCATGATAATGCTGAAGGAAAAGAGGACTATGCAAATACTATATAATGCATTGTACCAAAGATAGAAGACATACAAGACAATGAACTGAAGTGATGTCATTTAAGGAATGCAACAGGGCATTCTGGATGATGATGATTGTGATGATGACAGCAATAGCAATAACAACAGCACTTAGACTTATATACTGTTTCATGGTACTGTATAGCCCTCTCTAAGTGGTTTACAGAGTCAGCATATTGCCCCCATCAATCCAGATCCTCATTTTACCAACCTTGGAAGAATGGAAGGTTGAGTCAACCTTGAGCCTGCCAGGATGGAAGGAATCAAACTCCTGGCAGTGTGCAGAGTTAGCCTGCAATACTACATTCTAATCACTGTGCCACCATGGTTCCTGATGATGATGATAATGATGATAATGATCTTAGATCCTTATAGTATTACACTTCTCTCCCTCCACTTTCTAATATATACATTTTGATAAATGGATTACTTACAGCTTCTGGTTTAAACTTTTGTTAGCTATGATTCAGATTATAGGGAGGCAAAATTTAAGCACTTCTCAAAGATGAGTGCTGGCAGAGTTGCCACAGTACTTTACTTCATTGTATGCAACTTTACTTCACTGGTAAGTGTAACATACTGGCAGAGTGAATCAATCATAAGGTGATAGTCAGATAGACAGACAGATCTAGTGGTCAAGACATCAGGTTAGAAAGCAGAAGATCATGAGTTCAAGTCCCGCTTTAGCCACAAAAGCCAACTGGGTGACCTTGTGCCGGTTACTGTCTCTCAACCCAAGCTACCTCATGGGGTTGTTGTGGGGAAAATAAGATGGGGAAGATGTGTTGGATATGTTCACCACTTGGAGTTATTTGTAAAAATAGTAAATGTAGTATACAAAATAAATAAATAGATTAGATAAGAGACAGACAGATACAGAGAGAGGGAGGGAGGAGAGACTGGATATGCATGAGAGAGATGAGAGAGTTCTTGATGCTCTACAAGCTTGGTTGTTTTCTTACATGTGTTTCATTACCCAACTAGGTAACACATTGTCTGATTGGGAATGAGCATCTTAGTTAGGAAATGAAATGCTTAGAAGAAAACACTCAAGCTTGGAGGTCAACTCTCAGCTACAAATATTCTCTTCAGGTGGATACATGAAAGACTCCAAAACACAAGAATTTCATCTGGCAAGTGCAAAAACAATTAGTTTAAAACTAGTGAAAATTTTTTACAATGGTTGCCTCTTTTTTATTCTTTGACTTGTACTTGTTTGTCTAAATGGGTTACTTACTGAAGTCATCTTAATGGGCTTTATTAAAGCTATTCTAACCACTGCAACACTCTTTCTAGGAGAGAACCATGTTAGACTCTGGTATCAAAACATCAGGAAGAGTCCAAGAGCACCTTTTCCAACTAACAAATTTTATTTAAGGCTGTTTCGTGAGGCCTATGCCTCTTAGCAAAATTTTTTAGAAGATGCTACTAGACTCTGGGAGATTTTTGCAACAATTTCTATGCCATGGTTCAATTCTAATTATCTGTTGGGGATAACAGTTATTCTGGCTACCATTACTCAATGTTCTGTGGATGTTAATGAGAATACCATATCTCCCTGTACCCTGTTTTTATAACTGAACCATTGCCAAACCATACTTAATTTAAAAAAAACTACAATAATAACAAAAACTAATAACACAGTTGTTCTTGAAAGCTGAACATCCGATTTTGCTGGCAATTAGAAATCCAAAGACCAAACCAGGGGACTTCAAACTTGGCCCTTTTATAACTTGTGGACTTCAACTCCCAGAATTCCTGGCTGAGGAATTCTCGGAGTTGAAGTCCATAAGTCATAAAAGGGCCAAGTTTGAAGACCCCTGGACCAAACCATTAATGGGTGAATGTTAGCATAACACAAAGAAGTAAAACACTAAGAAGTACACAGAATAATTATCCCTCCATAATAAGGAATAATTATGGAGATTTGGATGGAGCTTGTATTTTCTTCCTCACCCCCAAGGACTCTTTTTCTCTATTCCCCACATAAATGCAAAATTACATGTTTAACTAATGCTCAGAAGACTTGGGATCAAATCCTGCCTCAGCCAAGAAATTCACTGGGGTAATATTGAGACTGGGCACTGTTACTCAGTATAGCTAATCTCCAATAATTGTTGGGGAGATAAATTTGGAGGTTGGGGCAGTCAGCTATACCATCTTGAGTTACTGGACAAAAAGCAGTAATAAGCAGAACTCTGCTTATTTTATCAAATGTGTATACGAGTTTAATCTAAACAAAATAAGCAAACTAAGAGAATATTATACAAAAAGCAATAGTTGTTTTGGGTTTTTTTTTTTTTTTTTGCTTTAAAATGTTCTCTTACTTCTAGCTCAGCACTTTGTTATGTCTTATTTTACAGGGCTTAAAGGGGAAGCAGAGGTTAAACTCCAAGTGCAATGCAAAGAAATTGCTTCTTAGTCCTGAAAGAACATGAATCAACAAGTGCTGTGCAGTCGTGTGTAAATATAATGACTGAATACATACGGAGTACTTTTAATTTAAGTAACCACAGCACTACAAAATAGAGGGAGCTTTCCACAGGCCATGCCTCTGGGACTGAATGCATTACTTACGTATCCTCTGAATTCCACAAAGAATGCAGATGAAAACAAATCTGTAAATCTGCTCCTAGATCAGCTGCTAAAGTGCCTGTTGGAGACTTCAAGGAGAGGAGATCACTGAGAGACATGAAAACTGCTTTATTCTAGCATGCATGGGGGCTTCCTGATTGACCAGCTGCTATTTATTTACTTATTCCAGCACTTTTGTTCTTTATTCTTAAAAAAAAAAAAAACTTTTGAGCTCAGAGATGGAGGACAAAACAGAAATGTAATAAATCAAATACATGTTAAAGATAAAGGAAACTCAGAGGTATCTACTACTGCTTGCTTAAAAGTGTAGGCCAATGTGAATGGAAGAGCAAATGGATGGATGCATTAATATTACTGATGATTTCCATTTTAGGGGGTATATAGCTCCACTGGACAAAGTTAATCCAAAGCAGTAGCTCTGTTCTCTCTCTCTCTCTCTCTCCCTCTCTCTCTCTCTCTCTCTCTCTCTCTCTCTCTCTCACACACACACACACACACACACACACACACACACACACACACACACACACACACGTCTGTGTGAGAGATTTGGAAAAGAAATATATCTGAATTCAATGGCATAAGAGGAACTAAAACATCCTACTGATGTAAGCAAGCTGGAAAACACACACTTCCAAAAGTAACTACTTGAGAGGAAGCTGATAGAGAAATTTTCAGAAACCTTTACCCTAAGAGGTAAAACTTGCTGTTCATGTCCTTCTCATATCTCTAGGAAGAAGCAGAGTAAGGAACAGGAAGTTCAATCTCCAGATGCTCACAATTTCCATCTACTTAGGGACTTTTACACATGTGTACCTCCAACATATCTGGAATCACCAGGAAGACTGGCTTAGCCCAAATCCTAGTGAGTTATGGAAGGGCCAGTGCAGAGTTTCCTTTTACTGGCACATACCCAAAGGAATGGATCCAAGGGCTGGGCTGAAGGCTTTTATCAGCGTCAAAGCCTTTGCCCTAAAACAAAAAGCAGAATTAGTCTGGAATGATCACTGGGTAGGCTCAATGCAAGTCTGTTTAGATGCGTGAATTCCACAGCAGATCTGAGACTGCTTTGCATCCCTAAGAAACCTGCAAAAGGTCACATCACTCTCCTCCATCCCTGGCATCGTCTCTCGCTTCAATCCCACCAGCAAATCCGACCCTTTCCCGGACTCCCGCGGGCCCCAAGTGCCAATTTTTCCTAGCGGCAAAGTCCCACCGAGAAGCTGGTAGAGAAAGCTGGTTGCTCGAGCGGCGCGCCCAGGTTGGCATCCACCAACCTGCTGCTGCTGCCCGGGCTGGAGATGCGGGAGAGACAGCCCAGGCAGCAGCCAATCAGGCAGCAGTTGGAGAAACGAGGATGATGATCGGTCTGCGTGGGTGAGCGCGCGGGAGGGTTGTGTGGATATAACGCCGGGGCGCCCGCTCGGCGCGGGGAGCACTCCGGTGGGCCGGCGAGCGCAGAGGCAAAACTTGGCGAGGCGGTACCTACCACCCTTTGCTTTTTGATCTCGGACATGGTGGCGGCGTCGGTTTCCTTGGCTACGGACACGAGCAGCGTGGAAGAGGGAGCAAAGGCAGAAGGAAGAAGCCAGCAGCAACAAGGGAGGGAGGAAAAGCGGTGTCCGGCGGCTGACTCCTGCTGAACTGAGCGGCAGCTGAAAGGCTGCGAGGGAAAGGGGGTAGTAGGTATTAAGGGCTGAGTAGACACGTAGCACTTCCCAGCCCACGGCCGCACTCCTCCCCTTGGCTCCTCCTCTCGAGGCGACAGTTACGGAGCGGCGAGAACAGCTGGCCGAGGGAAGTTGAGTTGTGGGGCGCGGAGCGCCTTTGTCCCTCGCGCGCCTGCGCCCTTTCCTCTTGCCGGACGCCCGGTGGCGGCGGCCAGATTTTGAGAGAACTTTTCTGTGTATCTGTGTCTGTACCGTTAGGTGGTAGAAACGGGTTGCGGCAAGCAGACAGGCTCGCCCACACCTTTCTCTCATTTTTTTAAAGGGTCCAGCCGCGGTTAAAGCAGAATTAAAAGCTGTGCTTGACCGAGTAATTCATGTTACCTTTCGGAAAACTCCATAGTCACGAGGTCTGCTGCGTGAGAGACTTGCGTGAGAGAAAGGGAGGCAAAGAGTTTGCCTTTGCGCAATAGTCCTGGTTCTCTTGACCTTTCCACTCCTTACCTTTTGGCTTTCTTTTCTGGAAGCTTCGCCTCTCTCCCGCCCCCACGCTGCTTCCAATTTAGGTGGATGCTTCCTTGGCGTGAACTTGCATGTCCTGAGGGGGCTGCGGATTGCTTTGGAGGCTGCCAAACAAAACTACTTTCTTGAACGAGCATCCTCCCCCCCCCCCTACAAAATTGCACAGGAATCCAAATGACAGATTCTCTTGCTTCTTATCTTTTCCAAGTTTCTCTTTCCAAATCAGAAGAAAGCTGCTAAGAAGCCAAAGATGGCAAAGTTGAATAGGCAGGCACAGCCATTTGGAGTTCACAGCTGATAGTTATGCACCTGGCCAACTTTACCTTCTTAAGTAGCCTGCTTAGTAATGGGAAGGGAAACCACAATAGCTTTCCAGAAAGTTCAGAAAAGTTTCCATGCTAACTTGAAAGAAGAGGATAGTAAATCTTGGTTAGCCTATTTCAAAAGTGCTTTTTCAAAAAGCAATCCGACTGTTTTTTGAGGAAAAACAAAATGTTTCATTTCTCATCTAAGAAATATCAGTTACAATGGGGAGGGGGGAGAGATGGAAGGATAGGTATTGACAGTTGAGACTGGATGGTGGGAGGATGGAAGGATAGGTTCCTACTGGAGGGAGGGGGGGTATCCTAACTGGGCCTTCATCAGATCCAGGAAAAGATCCAGCAGGAGCTCCTCCATTACAGATAAAGAAAAGAACAACAAACATAAAAACGTTATCATTCCATACATTGCAGGAATATCTGAAAAGCTCAGAAGAATTTTCAGCCAACATACATACATGTACACTTTAATCCCAAGAATACACTAAGGCAGAAGCTTGTCCACCCCAAGAATAAAACACCCAGACACAAACGGACCAATGTGATATATGCAATACAATGCACTGAGACGTGCAGATCTGTACATTGGTACAACAAAACTCCTTCACAAGTACATGGCATAACATAGGAAATCAAACCCATCAGGACAAGATTCAGTGGTCCTTCTGCATTTGAAAGACAAAGGTCACTCTTGAAAACAGCAAAGTCCCACATTCTGGACAGAGAAGATCATTGGTTTGAAAGAAGTGTCAAAGAGGCCATTTATGTTAACATTGAGCAGCCCTCTCTCAACAGAGGGGGGGAGATAAGACACCACCTATCTCCAGTCTGCAGCACAGTAGTGCCAAGAAGATTCCACAACCAATTGCACACTGAGGGCAAAGACAAACCACCAAGTGGCCTCAAAGCTCTCGAAGAGAGTGCTAATGGACCAGATGACTGCAAAGAAATGCAATCCTTCCATTCCCCACCACACACACTATCCAATTGGAATCTATTCATCCATCCCATCCCCCCACCATCCAGTCTCAATTGTCAGTACCTTTTCTTCCATTTCTAACCCCCCCCCCCTACAACTGATGAAGTTTCTTGGATGAGAAACGAAACTTGTTCTTAAAAAACAGTCTGGTTGCCTTTTGAAAAAGCACTTTTGAGACAACTACCAGTATGACCTGGATGACTGAGAATCTCCACAGATACTTGATTAGTCTATCTGAAAAAGTAGAGATAGAATTTAGTAGCATCTTCCAAATTGAGCAACTTTATTGGGACACCAAATTTCCTTTGTTCGTGAAAACTACTGCCCTAATAATATTAATGTGTCTTGAAGCAACTAACAGATTGGTTCATTTCTACTTTGTTGCAAAGAAAATTGCACAAACTTAGTTATGTAGTCCACAGGAGTTGCTTGAATTTTAATTACAATTTACCCTTTTCTATTAACACCCAGCGATCATGATGGTGATACCTAGCTTGCATTCATCACAGAGATCATTTCCATTATGGTGGTATCAATTCATTGAAATTAAAAAAACTTAAATCAGTTACATCTTTTTTCAGTTCAGAAGCCTAGGGATAAAAAAGGGGCTGCTTTAATGAACAGCAAAGAGGTACAAGGAACAAAGCCTCAAGTTTGAAATGAGCAGTTTTAATTTGCAGATGGATTCTACATGGCAGAAGAAAGTCACTGAATTCTTTCTGTAGTGATCTTTGTGAAATGTGATCTAACGGGATCAACTGTACTCACCTGGTACAATATTACCTAACTAATTATATACTCAAGAAGCCAGGGGTAGAACTGTGTTCTGAAGAGTTGCTGTAGGAGATTCAGAAGTTTTGAAGTTTTGAATACAAAGAGGTTACCATTCTAGGTATCCCAAAGATTGGCTGTCATGGTATGTCCCACTGCTATGACGAACAAACATCTTACTTGCATTTATTGTTTGAGTTATAAAGCTGAAAGTTAAGACTACAAGTCATTAATTCCATCTATTGTAGGTAAGTGAACTTAAATGGACTCCAGAAGATGGTAGAGGACAGGAAGACCTGGAAGAACGTTGTCCATGGGGTTGCGATGGGTCGGACATGACTTCGCAATTAACAACAACAACAATTGTAGGTAAGTTCAACAATGTCTACAAGGTTTCATCGGAATGATTAACTGAGTCATAATGTCATGATGCAAGTTCTATTTGCACATTCAACTTCACCATATAATAGCAAAAGGGTGAAGCTTATATCTTAACACATATTTCATTACTTGCCCCTCCCCCAGACACACATAGATAAGTTGCAAGAAAATAGATTGGTGGGAAGGAAAGATTTGTTAACACACCAATGAACCCCTTTTCAAGTGCAAATATCAAAAAGCCCATACCAAATCAAGACGTAAAGCTGTCTCATAATAAGACTAAGCACCAACAAGCACCAACCCTGAAAATTAAAATAAATGACTTAAAAATCTATGCCATGATCAGTAATGTTGCTATGCAGTGCCCAATATCATATTTACATACCATAAGTCTTCTACGCCTCCACATTTTTCTTTTGCTTTTCAAGGCCAACTATTGATAGCAAGGAAGGATAGGGCAAAAATGCCCTTAGTGTCAAGATCCTGGATCCACTTATGAAGCATTTAAACATGATATGTGATACTGCATACCTTTCCTGACCATAGGCCACACCTCTGATTTCCTGTTTCCTGCTTTTGTGTAGTTTCAGCCAAGTATAATTTTAAAAAATCATGATTTTAATTGGAAGTATTTGTTCAATCGCTGAATAATCATTGTTTATGGCTGAGCTCCCAGTACGTTTCTATACATCTTATACATATCTGTTCAAAAGTAAATTTCACTTAATTCAAAGTAGCTTGCTAATTAATTAACTTGCTAATTAACACACTTTGCCAGAAAGAAATTCCCTGAGGATGGGTTCCAACAACAGTCCTAAAGCTCAGAAGACAAAACCTCTTGGTCCCAGTGACTGACCAAGATTGGAGCTCGCTAATTAATATTTATGATGGCAGCTTAATATAATATATTGCATTCGCAAGCTGCAATACATTGAAATTAATATTTTAACATCTGTAAACCTATAAAAACATAAATGGCAATAATCATTATTTTAAAGGTCACATTTAACTAAATCACATGACTCAATCATTACAATATCTCATCAATATCAAAACATTACAATTTAAATTAATTGTATATTTCTAAATGCCCGCTTTTCAATTACAGTCTATTAAATATGCAATGTATTATGGGTACTTAGTAACCCATATTTATAAAAATTTATAAATCCAGATTTATAACAGTGTCTTGTGGTGGTTTGGCAATGCCGTATTTCAATTTTTTTTTCCTTGAAGTAGACAGATATTTTTATTAACTACCGGTATGTGGCAAATATGCAGACATGGAAAACTAGACATTTTATTTTCTGTTGAAGCCTGACTGTACATAGACTGTATATATAATAAATCACATCTTGACATATGCATACACATATACGCACAAGGTTACATCTCTTCTTAATGCCATTTTTTTTTCTGAACAAAACAGCTACTATTTTCCCTCATTCCAGTTGCAGCCAATGCTGGAAAATGCCCATAAACTGAGACTTACTCCCTTTATGCAGATCGACAGGCAGGAGTTATATAGTTCTGTTGTAGATATAATTTAAAACACAAGAAATGTTTGTGGGAAAGATAGAAATTGGTGGGACCCTCTCATACAACTTTGAAAAGCAATACTGTAGAGCAGGGGTCTTCAAACTTGGCCCTTTTATGACTTGTGGACTTCAACTCCCAGAATTCTCAGCCAGTGTGCCTGGCTGAGGAATTCTGGGAGTTGAAGTCCACAAATCATAAAAAGGCCAAGTTTGAAGACCCCTGCTGTAGAGCTTGATTTGGCCTTAATCAGAGAGGAAGCACAGCTCATGTGAGCTCAAGGCAGTTGTTATGTTCTATTGATGGCTTGGTTTGATAACATTGCAAGTAGGGATCCCAAAAAGCTTTTGAGAATGCATGAAAGTTGAAGATTTCATTAGTGTATAGTTACGTATATTTTGGAAAAATATTACAACATCTTGCACTTCTTATTTATTAGTCATGCTTGCACATTGCAGTAAATCAAGAGACAGTTGCCAAAAGCGTAAACTGAGTTGTATCAGATGAGTGAATCTAGCATATGTCAT